CACAACAATTATTTACTAATTTCCTTCCAACCGTTCAGAAAATACAACAAGCTAATGACCACTCAAAACGCCCACAACATAAGAAACAGGTAACTTCCTATAACAGGTTCATTAATCATACGAGACAGTCACACAGTAACTCCCGAAACGACCACATCATAGAAAACGGGCAACTTCAATAACAGATCCAGAACATCAACGCATAAAAGTCATATAAACGACCAATTCCCACATAATACACATCATAAATCCAATTATAAGGTTAGAACCCCACCCTTACCTGGATTGAATGTCACTCAACCAAAATTTCCAGCCGACAGCCTTGCCTTGCTCGACAATCGTGCAACTTTTCTCGACAACCTTGCAACCTTGCCCTCTTCTATGAAGCTCTCACGGTCACGCACAATACTTCTTATTCTTCCAAAATAACCAAATCCTTGTGTCAGCTTAAGCTTGTTGGATTAAAATATCCAGCGTCAACCTTAGGGATTCGAAGGGCTTAACATCCCCCCATGGGCGCCTACACAGGTGTGTTAGGTGGGCCAGGTAGGCCCCTTGTTAGATTCTCTATAAGGAAATAGAGTAGCACCTTGGCTACAAGCAATTGCTTTTAGCTCAGTGGTAAGCGCTTGATCCTACAAGTGGTATCAGCGCAAGGTCATGGGTTCGAATCCCCCCGGCTGACACTGGGGGGAGATTGTTGGATTAAAATATCCAGCGTCAACCTTAGGGATTCGAAGGGCTTAACATCCCCCCATGGACGCCTAAACATGTGTGTTAGGTGGGCTAGGTAGGGCCCTTATTAGATTCTCTATAAGGAAATAGAGTAGCACCTTGGCTACAAGCAATTGCTTTTAGCTCAGTAGTAAGCGCTTGATCCTACAAAACTTATACCATTAATTCTATTGAGCTTAACTTCCACACCCCCACTTTACTACTTCCAACCAATAAAATAGGCCCAACACAATTATTCCATTAATTCCAACATTATTATTATTATTATTATTATTATTATTATTATTATTATTATTATTATTATTATTATTATTATTATTATTATTATTATTAATCAACTAATTAATTAATTAATAACAATCTAACAACTTATACCAACAATTCTCAACATCTCCCAACTTTTCAACAGATAATCCAAAAATAATTTAATTAAATAATTAATAAAATTAACGGGCGTTACATTCGTGCCCTCTATAAAAGTAGATTGCTTAATTGGTACCAACTTTCCAATAACTTTCTTTATTCTCGAGGCTAACAACTTTGCCAGGATCTTATAAAGGCATCCAACTAAACATATATGTCTATGAAAGAGATTGAGGATTGTTGACTTTAGGAATGAGCGCAATGAAAGAAGTCATACGCACTTTTATTAATTTGGCCCTAGCATGGAAATAATTAATGAATTGCACCACATCTCCTTTGAATAAATCCCAACTATTCTGCGAAAAATCAAAAGAAAAACCATTTGGACCAACATTCTTGCCTCTATCACAACTCCATACCGCCTCCTTTATCTCACATTCTGAAAAGGAATCCTCCAACATTAATCTATCTTACTTATTAAGACAATTGAACATCAACCCTCTGGGCACCGTTCTAGAAAAATTATTTCCTTAAAGAAGCTTTCATAATGATCCTTGACTTCACTCTTCACTTCCCCCACCTCTTCCACTATACCACTAGAATTTTCCACCAATTTAATGAAATTATGCCTATTCCATACTTTTATCGCATTATGGAAAAATCTCGAGTTTTGATCACCCTCCTTCAACCAAATTTGCCTTGACTTTTGTCTTAAAAAGCTTTCCTTAATGTCAATATTCTTCCACATTTCATCCACTACCTTAACCCTGTCATCCACTATCTTCTGAACGTTACCTCCATAATTATAAACTAACAACTTATTCTATGCATTAAGTTCAAAAACTTTATCCTCCACTATAAAGTTTATCCAATCGAAAACCTCTTTATTCCAACTTCTCAACTCGAACTTAAGGAATTTAAGATTTTCACTTAGGATAAAATCCCCTCTCTAAGACACCACACATTTCTGCCATTCCGCCTTAGCAAACTTAGCAAAGTCATCATGTTTAATCCAACAGTTATTGAATCTGAACAGTTTAGGGCCCCAATCTTTGCTGCAACACTTCAACCAAATGGGACAGTGGTCGGAGATATCTCTCTTCCCAACCCACTGCCCCGATATATTCCAAACACACACCATCTTCTTCGAAAATAAAATCCTGTCAAGACTACTCATAGAAGTACCGCCACCACTGAACTAAGTAAACCTCAAACTAATTGAAGGAATATCAATGAGTTCCATGTCTTTAATGAAACAATTGAAAGCATCCATCTTGTTGTTTCTAACATTCGATCCCACCCCTATTCTCCCATCCTTATGAATAACATTGTTAAAATCTCTGCCTAAGCACCACTCTTCTCCCATACTCTTCCTTCTTATGAGAATAAAATCCCTCCATGTTATCCTTCTTTTCGCGAATAAACACGAAGCATACACATTAACAAAGTTAAACCTTACTCCCTTCCACCCAACATTCAGACTCACGAAACCATCAACCTTGAAGCTGTAGTCCAGAACGAAGAAATATTTTCTCTATAAAACAACCATGCCACCATAAGCCCTTATAGCCCCACTGAACGTCCATTCAACATTACTATTATCCCAAAACTCCATTGCAATACTGCAATCAAAAACACTTAATTTAACCTCTTGAAGAAAACATAAAACAAAATTTCCAGACTGAATTAAGAAACTAATTCTCTTCCTTTTAATTCTACTGCCACTCCCTATTATGTTTAGAGAAATAATATTCATGGATACTTGTTCTTAGTCGCCTCCCTCTGCTCTTTGCCCTCTTAGTATCTTAACTACATCTCCTCAATCAAATTTCAAATTGTTTCCCAAATCACTCTACCCCCCTCTAATTCCATGTTTCCTCAAAACCTCTTATTACATTGCAGAAGATCAGACTCTGAAATAGATCCACAACACATGACTTTTCCGCTTGAGAAATGATCACTCCTGCATGTACTAATGGTCGTTTGGTCCTTAGACCGATTACTAATGCTAGATGAAGACGAATTGTAATTCACTGCTACAATAGATCTGTTTTTCTTTCTCTAAAGGCAGTCAAAATATGAAGCACGTGTTCCAACTCTTTCCCCCAAATGTTTTACTTCTCTGATTTTCATCCTCTTGGGTTTGGGCCTTTTGATCTTTAAATAGGCTTCATCAAAGGTTATTGGTCCGTCTGGAACAAAGTCCACTAAACCCGACCCAATCCAAACATCTTTCCTCTTCTCCAAAATGTGGGGTCTCTCTTCCAACACATTGATCGCTCTAACCTCGTCAACATTATTCCTAATACCAACATCCTTAACAATATGACACGTATCCTGAGAACAATCGTCTCATACCCTATCCGTAGTCCTATCCACATAACTACCCACCAAGTGTACAATCGCAAAGTCAACTTTATCAACAACATAAAGTTGATTTTTACACATTAGTGAAGATTCATCATTATTATCGAAAATCACCAAAGCTTTATCAACATTGTCCTTCATGCAAGACAACTCAACTTCACCCACTGGACACACTGCTTCCCCGTGAGGAAAAATTGAGATCGCTAACCCACCGTCTTCTTTCCAGTTATCAGACTACATAAAACACCATATGGACCTTGAGCTTCTTCCATGATTTTGGTTCTAAAGATATCTTCGTTGACTTGAATATTGAGCACTTCATTAATCACAATTGTAATTGATGCAATAGGAGACGTAAGAAGATTTGCAATAAAAATTGTTATAGTTTTTGTATATTTTTTTAAACAAAAATAATATTTCCACACTTAAGTTTATATATCTTTATTTTCAACATAAAAATAAAATGAATATTTCCCATCATGTTTCCAAATTAGATAAGTAGTATTAAATAAAACAAAATGGTGGAAAATTCAAATCATATGGCTCTAAATTTCACCTAGATCCTTTATTGGTGAAATCCATGGTCAAAAAGTGGGAGCATTACACGTTAACTTCATGCCCATAACTTGACATTTTAGGCAACCTTATAATTAACTTCATGTTACGATACTTACACAGATCTATTGTCGATCTTAGACATTTTTTCTTGCGTGACACATTAAACCACATTAACCTTTTCAACATTTATGTCATAAATAACGAACACAGCTCATAATAATCAATCAAAGAAATCTAAGTTACTTAAATTGAGTAGACAAAATGGAATGCATTATCCATATTCAAAACCTTAAAAAGGTTATTAAAACACATTTAATGGGAAATTAATCACAGTGTGCATGGTAATGCATGATCTAATTAAAGCACAAATTTATGACAATAAAATAAACATGAAATGTTACATCAAATTAAAACTACAAACTTAATCATCATCAAAATGATATCACTAACTAGAAATTGATAGATAGTCTTAGAAGGTGAAGAGAAGGTCTTAATTTTAGCTCTTACTATCTTCAATTTTAAATATGACTCAAAAAGTTATCTGTATTTGATTCAATTTAAAATCAAATACATTTGACTTTTTGTTTATATTTAAGATCGAAGGAAGTAGTTTTTTACTATTATCTAGGGAAGTCAATTCCCGAACCTTAATCCTCTCAGTCCTTGATCGCTCTGAAAAAGGAAAATCTTGCAAGGTGCGCTCTTGACTTCTCCCCATCCTTGTTTTTTTATATAAGCTTCACTTCCTTACCCTACACATTATCCAAAATGCATGCATACTTCTTTGCCCTTCTTAACTGCACAAAAATTAACAAAAAAGTTAAGACACCATTTTAATGTAGAGAGCTAGAACGAGAAGTTTATATATAGTATCTGATGTATCTGCCCAGCTACCAACTGAGTTGAATTAACTGGACAGAAGTTTATATAGTATGCATATACCTTAATTATGTTACATTAATTAGATAACTTGATGGTCAAGCAACTTCACCGGACAAAGAGGCCTTAATCCTCTCAACAGTACAAGCAATGAGATTATTAACGGTAGCAACAGATCCAAGAGAAAGTTTTGCCGTTGGAACAGAATCAACCAATATTTGAAATGCAACAGTCAATAGAGAACCACCACCACCATGACCACTTTCACCACCACCATTTCCTCCATTAGTTGTTCCGTCCGGTAATATAGCAAATCCAGATGGAAGAAGTGCAACATAATCAGGATCACCTCCATTTAGAACCACATTCATTGCAACTATGTCCACTGGTGCATATATCACAAATGATCCTGTTGTGTCTGTGCAACTCTCTTGCAATATCAACATGTTGCTTTGGCTTGAATTTGCACTCTACATGTTACATATGAAGAAAAAAATTAATATAGTTTTTATATGAAACTTAAATAATTAAATGTGGCATAATTAAATTCAACATCATACATTCACTCGAAGTAGCGAAACACAGTTTCCAGTATCTCTTCCATTAGCAATATGTGCCATTTCTTGGACAACTCCACCATTAGAAAGAATATCCCACTGTTTTTTTTTTCAAGAGGTTGAAAATGTTAGATGAATAATATAAATATAATTAAATGTTACATGATTAAATAATAATTTGACAATAATGTGTATAAAGTGAGATGACATAAGATAAAAAAGGGTACAAAATTTCATGCAAAAGTTTATTAGAGTCTTGATGAAAAAGTGGAGTAGGTGTCACACTTTCTTTAGCAAATTGAAAAAGATGTATTTATGCAATTCAAAGCAAATTGAAAATGAGAAGATAGCTAGAGAGTTGAAAAACTAGACTTATATGCTTACATAAAATCATACAAGATGATGACATAATATGAACTTAGTATAGAATATATGCATCATACATTAACCCAAAGCAAATTTACTTAATCAAGAATAATCTAACAACCTATTAGTACACAATAATGTGACCTAAAAGTTTAAGATTAGATAATGATTGGTGCATAATTTGTTTTCTTAATTACCTCATTTCTTGAGTTTTCATCTCTGAGAAATTCAAAAACTCTTTTTGGTGAAACTGGAAGCCAAAAAGAAGTTGCCGCACTAAGAACAATGCCAGCTGGTCTTCCTGGATCGTCCACGCTCTTACGGGTCATGACGCGGACATCGTCGGCTCCGGTACCGGAAAGTGTTGTCCATGTGTGAGCTGTTGAAGCACTCACTCCAGCACAAAAGCTTATGCACATTCTTTCAGCTAGTTTCAACATACTCTTTCTCCCATCTTGGTTTGTTATCACTAGCATTATACAATATCAAAAGATTAAGCACTTAATCAAATAAAGAGTTTAAAAATTCGAGGATGAAAAGATGATAGTACCGCCAACGTCAACTGTGGGAATGTTTGTGGCCATGGCACTAGCAAGTCTTTCGCATTGTCGATCTAACGTCGCAATCCAACGTTTCGCGCCGAATGCATGCCCGGAGCTAACAAGTTGTTTGTACAGATTATGAACACCCCTTTCATCAACTTCTACATGCTCAACCCATATAACCTAATGAACAAAAACAAATATCAAATGTTACCACAATCTTACTTTCATGTTAGTAAAAAAACTTAGGTAAAGATGATAATCGAACCTTCGAGTAGCCATTAGGCATTTCTTGAATTAGGCAACCAGAAGGCCTTCTTCTAGATCTTGAAGAAGGACTCGGGCGCAAATTGTCCAACGAAACGTCCACAACTGCCCAAGTTCCATCAGCATGTTGTTTACAATACCTTACAAAATAACTCTCTCTTGTTGGCACAAGTGGTGAAGGTACTTGTAGTTCAGCTGTCATCTGAAAATTCAAATTCACATTCAAAATCAATTCTATCATGTTCAATATCGGATTAATTATATATACATACCACTTGTAATGCGCCATTGTAATTCCCTGCTACTCCAGTTGAGAGCACTTCCAATGTCATTCCTCTTGATACAATACCAGAAAAAACTGTGGACCATTGGTTCTTATAACCACAACAACAACAACAAAAAAATGTTAAAAACTTTCAATAAATATGTTTATTATTCAATGAACCGAAGCTTGTGTATTTGTGTATGTATATCATACCACGTCCATGAGGATTTCGACAAGGTTAACATGATTCATGATGACAACAGAAGTTTCTCTGGAAGCTTCGCATTTAAAACCAGCAGGTTTTGGACCAATTCCTCGAGGAAAAGACCGAACATACTCCTCCTCATTGAGTATGGAAGCACCTTCAAGTGTAGTTAACCAAAGAGGATCACCCATTTGTGCCATTCCAATGAGTTCCTCCATAGCAGCAACAGCTAGCTCAATTATCATCGGTTTATCAGCTTCAGTTGGTCCACTTATTGATCTAAGAAGATCTCCAGCTCCGTACATGTCTCCTCCACTCAGTCCTGGTTGTCCTCCAAAACCACCAATGCCGAGTTCTAGAGGACGAGGAGTACCGGATGAAGGAGAGAGTAATGGATAACTCACCACCGGTTTGCCTACGTACTTTGCGGCAATGGCAGATATCCTATCAATCTGAAATGTAAACAACAAAGAAGAATAAAAACATGATGTCATGATCTACAATATATCACACCATAAACATTACTCCAATCGATACCTCTTCTCTTAGTCGAGCATTTTCGAGCCTCAGATGATGTTCATCAAACGACATCTCTCCAATCGCAGTTGGTCCACCGCAATTAGGACAAGAAGCATTACTAAGAGCTTCTCGAAACCTCATGTTATCCGCACGAAGCTTCTCATTCTCAGTTCGAAGCGCGGTATTCTCATGCCTCTCCTGTTGAGTCTGAAAACAAAAACAAACATCATTCTCTCGTAAACCTTCTACATTTTTCAATAAAAAAAAAATCCTCCAAGTTAATCAAATTCTTTTACCTTCATCTGAGTACGTTTGTTTTGAAACCAAAACTTCACTTGCAATGGCTCTAGCCCTAACTCTCTACTCAGTTCCTTCCTTTGCTTATCATCTGGATGTGGACATTCCTTGAAGAAACTAAACAAACAAAACCATTAATCAATTTAACCAAAACCCTAAACCAGATAAGTTTAACTATTCAAAAAACCGCTTACGCTTCCATTTCTTGGATCTGATGCTGTGTATGACGATGATAACGTTTTTTCTTAGCACGAGGCTCTTGATCTTCGCCACCCGAATTCGCCGCTTCTTGATTCTCACTGTTACCAGATTTTGTAGCACTGTCAAAGAACTCATCTTCACGGATTCTCTGAACGTCGCTTTCAGAAGTGTTGTTGTTCTGTGTCATGTCGAGTGGTAGAAGCTGATGATGATGAAGTTGTCCAGCTTCCATTAGGTTTGGCTGGAACATTTTCTACAGATCTTTAAGATTCCAAATGCTTATGGTTTTCAATCTAACAAAAACAATATATAACACATAACATATAGCACAGTACATGGTTTTAGTTTTATACTGCATTCTAGAACAAAGAAAAAAACATAAACATAAGCAACAACAAAAACTGTTTATTATTGGTTTATGTTGATAGAAAAACAGCAGAAAGTTTATAAAAAGGAAAAAACATGTGGATTTGACTAACGTTTGATGGTTTTGAGAAAAGTGCAAAACGCGGTTTCAGAATTTCGAGAAGGATACTTGGACTGATAAAATACAAAACAAAATGTTTTTTTTTTAATAATTTTTTTCAATTTGTTCTTTCACTAAAGAACAAATTCTGACTTAAAAATGAACTTTGGAGAAAATAAAGTCAAAATAAATCAAACCAAAAGTATTAATTAATTCATTAATATAATAATTTTATAATAAAATTAGTGAGTAATTTGAAAAAAAATTATGAGGGAACAGAAATAATGGATTCACCTGGGAAAGAGAAAGAGAAGAAGATAATTCAAAGACACCAACGTTGTTGTTGTTTCTTCCGATCATTGAAGGCATGTTTATGGTTGGAATCATTAAACTACCTTGCATATTTCACAATCCAAGAGCATGAACTAAGAATCTTTGTTTTTTTTCTCTCTCTTTTCTTAGATCCTTGAAAGTGCTTGATGAATTCTTTGTTTTGATTCTTCTGTTAGCTCTTGCGGTGTCTCGGCGAGATTAATGCGTTCACTTCAAAAAGAAACAAAAACATGAACAACATGAGAAGAAGAAAGAAACTAAAGACATAAAAACGTGACTAGAATTTTCTTTTTCTTTTGACCTTAACAATTCTAAGAAACATTCATATGAAATAATTAAAATGCTCATAAATAAAAATTTGTGAGTTTTTTTATAATTTAAATCAACACAAGCAAAATAGTTGCATATGTGTTTAGGTACTTCTCAAGTTTTTTTATGAGCAGAAAATGTAAAATAAAAAAAATAAAAAAAAATAAAAAAAAATAAAAAAATATGCATGACATTCTAGCAACCCTAACTATATGGACGGAGACATAAATTTTTTAAAAAGATTTTTAAAAAGAAGAAAAAAACTACTATGTCTCCTATTTAGTTTTGAAAAAGCAATGATCTTAGAATAGTGTGAATGAGATGTGTAAACAAGTTATGATAAGAAAGACTTTTTGTTTCTCCACTTACCAAGAGGAAGAGTAGTTGCTAGAAGAAGATAAAAAAAAATGTAGATCTACAAAGGTACTAAAAAAGAAGTAAAAAAGAGAGGAAGCTTTATGAAAGATGAAATGGAAAGAAGAAAGGTTGGGTATATGGTAATTAAATGAGGAAGGGAAGCTTGATGAGTGTTTTTAGGTGGTCTAGCTTAAAAAAGGTATAGGTAGTTTAAAGGGAGAAGAAGGAGAGGAAGAAGGTGAGAGGACAAAGGAATTGAAGGAAGAGAAAAGAGGGAAAGGATGGAGAGGAAAAATGTGGCAGTGATGAGTTATTGCTGAGTGTATTGAGATGGTGCAATTGCATTAAATGGTGGGCGTAAGAGGTGTAGTAATTGCTAGTAGTGTACATGAATGAGACTATGAGAGAGAAAGAGAAAATATGAGAGAGAATGAGATTATTATGAAAGTATGAGAAATAGAGAAATAGAGAAATTGAGAGAGAGGCTTTTGTTGTGTAACTTTTTGGCTTTGGGAGAAAGTAGATGGTGCAAAAGATGACGGCTACCAAACTCGTTAAATTTTACTCTACTCTGCCAAATTTACTTATACATCATGTATTCTACGATGAACTATACTCCTATTGTATATTTGTATTTGAGGAAAACATATTGGATAGTTTCTTTATTTATATATAATCAAAGATTATAAAGAAATAACACCGGCAAACAAACGAGAAATAAGATATGCTGTTATCTTTTTTGAATGATAATTTTTTTAAATTTTACATTCTGTATTCTAGAAAACACATTATTGTTATGTATAAGTCATTGAACTCTCCGTAAAAGATCTATTATTTTTTGTGTTAAAAAATCAAAAAGTGACACAGACAATTGGTATGAAAGCATGTTAATTGTGAGAACACGCTTTCTTATGCTTAACTACTTTACTTGAAGTGGTTTTGAGAACTTTTTGTCCTACATTAAAACCTCCAATCCTCAATCCTACTAGTGATGAAATTCCACTAAAGTCTACACATGCATGTTTTCCTCCTATGTATCCGTCACTAGAACATCTATTGGCCTAAGTGTCGATTTCCTCTCTTGTGGGTCAGTCAAAAAATTTACAGGCACTTCGTTTCTTCATAGATACTCTGACATGCCGAAATATACCAAATAAGACATTCCTAACAAAATCATGTCGCTATTTGAATTCTGAAAGCTCCTTACCATGAATGACGTGTTCTCCAAATGTATCCAAGCATGCTTTGCAGCAAACAAGACAAACCTCATCAAACGATAATAAGGAAATCATACGCATGTATTTAAGGATGATACAATACTCTACTAAGGATATATGTTGGCTTAGACCATCAATAAGGATAACAAGGAGAAAATCTTGAGCATGTGTTATTTGTAAACAACCAAAATATACTTTTTATCTTATGGTCATGTCAAACTTTACATCAATGTCCTGGACACTTTTACTAAAAATGGTAATCACCAAAATATGTTGTGTTTTAGCGGGGACGGTGTCATTTCTAGTAAAACCACTAAGGTGAAAAATCTGAAATCACAACACTAAGATCGTCCAAAGCTCTGTAAAAATCAAGGTACATATCATATATTTCACGGTCTCTTAATATATGATCTTGTAACACCTAAGATTGGGCCCTAGAAGCCATAACTTTCATTAATGGAAAATGAAAGCACAACCTCCGATTAGTTCTCAACAAATATGTTAGTATTCAAGGGAGAACACTATGATAGATGGTGTGTGTGTAGATGAATGGCATATTTAGATTTCATTATGTGCTTGAAATGTGAATGATGGATTCTCAATATTGGAAGTCAATGTTGTTGGACATGAGACTCTAAACACAAGAGGGAGGAGGAGATTGTGTGGATTTAAAAATTTATTTTAAAAATAAAATCTTTTAAAAAATCAAAGTTGAAAATCCTTTTTGTAAAATGGACAAAATAAAAGTAACGGAGATAAGAAAATGGAATTGCAGTGGAAATAAATGACAGAAAATTAAAGATTTAAGGAATGATAGAAATACACCAGGATTATAGAGGATTGGTCTTAAATAAGTGATATACTCCTCTCTCAAGAATTCCTTCTTGATATTTTTCAATTTGATGATGAGAGCTTTTAATACGCTTTTTCCTCGAACATCCTTTTATAAGAATTGGAGTTTTTCAATGGCTAACTACCCAGCCAAGACAAATATTTAAGTATGGAGACATCCACAACCAACTAGGAGCTTTTTAACAACATGTTAAGCTCACGAATCATCTGATAGTTTTAACTACAAAGACCTCCCCAACCAATAGGAGGTTTTAACTAGTTTACCTCAATAACTAAAAAAAAGTTTTTTACTTGGTTTATCTTACAATCAAAACAAATTTTCTCCCAAAGAGAAATTACAATAATGCCCCTACACCAGAAAAAATACCTTCATAGATATAATATTTACTCTAAAAAATACTAAAGAAAATGTGAGAAAATAATAGAGAAAGATGAGAGTGAGAGAAAGGTATGTGAAATACGATTTTAGTGTGTTTGAAATAAGAAAAAAGTCATCTATTTATAGGACGAAAGGTACTCAAATATGGAAAGAATCTATGGGCTTTTTAAAGCTTATTATCGATTATCCCGACTGCACAATTGATTATGGCACTCCGAAATGGAAGGTTTCAATTTCTAGTTATTTCAAACCATTAAGGGACTTATCAATCTATTTTAGGCATTTTGGAGTGATATAATTGACTATTCCAAAGGCCTAATCAATTATCCCTTTATAAAAAAATGCTTCTAATTGATCAGAAAACTACATAATCAATTGGCTAAGCTTTTAAAGTATTTTAAGGGGATTTTCATTAAATAAGAAAGGCTTTTCCAAGGGTTTAAAGTGTGTGTGAGAGATTGATATTCCTTAGTATAGTTGAGATTTAGTGTCATACCTTTACAGACAATGTCCAATGACCTAAAATCGATGAGCTTTCGCACTCTCTCTATTTCACATCACTAAAGTTGTTGGTTCCTTGCCACATTATATTTGACTTCAGCATTTAATTGGAATCTTAAATCTTCTTATGACGAGACTTGAGATAAATCTTCATAATAAAATTCATCATCATACTAACTGTTTGATTAGAGATTTTTGCTAACTTTATCGAACACCACTTAACATAAGATGTTGTCCTTCACAGATAGTCGTTGATAGATTGATCTCCAAGAACTTGATCACCACAACTTGATTAAAATCACTTGATATTCAAAACTTGACAATCGAGTACATCCAATTGATCACTACATCCGATGATCTTCAGGCTTCATCTTCATCAAAACATCTTGATCAACATATTTTAATCTTCAAGCACCATTACTTGGTCAACATATCAAGCATCATCACTTTATCAACAATATGTCAAGTACCATTATTTGATCAACATATCAAGCACCATCACTTGATATATGTTCAAATACCATCACTTATACCAACATATCAAGCATCATCACTTGATTAATATTCAATTCCTTTAACAAGACTGGTGAAGACTTCTTTTAAGAGCAGTGCCAACATTAAAACCAAATCAACATGTTATTGAGTCTTCATATCTTTAAGCCTATAGATCCATAAATGCAATAAAAATGCAAAAGATTGGTCATCATGAATTGAACAAGAAAGATGGGAAAATATTATTCTTGATCAATCAATGTGTGGATTCAAACATATTTGAGAAGAAAATTGAAGAAATTGAAATGGGTGTGTGGAATACACTCAAGAAGTTGTATGAAGGTGATGAGAAGTTCAATAAGTTAAAATTGGAATCTTTGATGAAGAAATATGAGAACACGCATGTTGTAACCCAAAATTTTCTCTCTTATTTCTCAAGATATTTCCCACAAGATCTTCAATAGCTCAAGCTTGCACAAGGATTGACTAGGTCAAGACATCTCCTCAACACTGATACCTCAAATTAAGGTTTGAGTTTTCACAAGGGAAATTGGACTTTTAATACCTCATATGGCTTTCATGTATCATTATGGACTTTCAAGATTTCTCATGTCAAGTTTCAAGTCTTGCAGTTCAAGTTTGCTCAATCAATTGATCATATGACCTAAGATCAACTGTATTGGGTAAAAAGTCAAATGTGGTTAACTTACAGTCAAACTTCAATTTTTTGACCCATATCAACATTTTGAACTCATATGTATCATTTGATCAAGTTTGGATCATAATTCTACAAGAAAATTACTCAGATCATCAAAAGGGCAAAATGGTCAAAATTAGGGTTTTGACTAAGAAGGCTTGATTTTTTACTTTTGACCTAATACATGATTTATTGGTTTGAAACATGATGTAAAGGATTCAAATGTATCATCTTGACCTAATGGCATGGTTCAATTCATTTCACAAGGCCAATTGATTGATAGTTGAAATTTGGTCAACATGTGAAAAAGTCAATTGTACACTGAAAAGTCAAACTTTGACTTTTTGATCAAATATGAGTTTCAAATATCACATTTCATCAAGACATGAAAAAATATAAAACTTTTTCATCAAGAAATCAAGAAAGTCAAAAGTCAATTTGAAAAGTCAAAGTTTTCAAGACTTAGAAAATTTTCCAAGTGTTTTTATACATGATTATTTCATAACTTCATGCCAAATTCTCACCAAGATGCAAGATGATTCAAGAAAAACTTCCAACATGAAAGTTGTAGATCTAAATGAGGTATAAAATATTGTAGGACAAAACATTTTTTAGAAATTCTTGGATTTTGAGTTATGAGTTCATAAAGTCATGCACTCTTGATAAAAACACTTAGTGAAAATTTGACCTAGTTAGGCAGATTTTTGGTACCAACTTCATGGAAACTTTTCACATAGTTCCAATTGGATTCTTAAAAAATGAAAAACATGAAGGTTTTAGGGGATGTTACAATCTTTCCAAAATCTCCAATAACTCATTAAGATCATTCTTGAGCTAGGAGAATCGAAGAGATAAAGTTAGGGTTTCATTCTTGATTTACAAGGCAGAATTATGAAGAACAATGGATGAAATCTCTAGTCATGATGCATAATATTTGCTTTGAAGGCCTCTAACTTGTGTTTCACTCCATAATTAATGGTTTACACAATTGATTGAGCTCTTATCCAAGTGATTCAAGCATTGTCCAAAGCAATTTTCCATTTTGGGAAGAAAGTAACATATCCATTCTTGAAAAGAAAGCTTTATGCACAAAGTCAATGCATTGAGCTCCTAAATTGTTTGCTCTGATTACACTCCATCTACAAAGTCAGAGGCATTGTATTTAAATTTGTTAACAACTCTATGAACAAAGGTACAAGGCATAGAAACTTGTTTTATCAAGAAAATCACATGTTGAGCTTAAACATGGATTTTGAATTTAGATCAACTGGAGCACTCCAAACCTTTTGCTTATAAATAGAGACATTATTTATGAGCTAAGACACGAGACTAGAAGCCCTCAAAATCCATTAATCCATATATTTCATAAAACCTTCATTTTTGTGTCATTTGTGAC